GAAAGAGGAGATCCCTTGTAAGAATTAACTTGGGAACTTTTTGAAAACAGTCCAATTTCACCTCCTGCCCCCCCAAATAATGCATATTATTCAACTGTTCGTTTGTTATAACAGCAGCTTCCTAAATCTGAACACTTTGTAACTTATTGATATACTCTTGATGTGAAGGAATTCCACATTCTTCTGTTGGCAATGAAATGTGATGCAGTAAATAAGCATGTATTGGAGCATACTTGTTACTGGATGACTGACTTAAAATTTTTTTTATTTGTTGTTTTTACATATACATAACAGTAGGGGGTGTATTTTGACATATTTTACATACATGGGGTACAACCCATTACAATTTTGATCCCGTTCTTGTGGTTGACATGATGTGGAGTTACACTAATCATGTATTCTTATATGAGCATAGGAAAGTTATGTCCGATTTATTCTACTGTCCTTCCTATTCCTGTCCCCCTCCCTTCTATTATTCACCTTTGTCTAATCCAGTGAACTTCTATACTTCCCCTTCCTACCCTTCCTTATGGGTTAGCATCCACCTATCAGAGAGAACATTTACCTTTGGTTTTTTGAGACTGGCTTGTTTCACTTAGCATGATATTGGATGACTGACTTTTACTATCCTTATTTTGTGTTATTCTATACAAACTCTTATGATATATAGTGGTTTTTGAGGGATTTGGAGAAAATACTACTAAACTACATAAATTATGAATGTAATTGAATAAGATAATATGATCAGCTGAAGTTGGTGCCACAGAGACATAAGTTTTAGCTTGGAGGATACTAATGAAAGATCCTGACTTTTGGTGTGAATCTTAACCTTTTAAGAGATTTTCATGTTGCTGGTCAGCTGCCTATTAAGGAGAAGATTGACATATGTTTGTTTTTCTTTAGTCAGCAAGTTTGAGACTGGGGATGCTTTTTAGGGACAATAAATTTAGGTGAAAAATGGAGAAATCTGAGACTAAAGCATTTAGGAAATTAGAAAGATAACCAGGATCTAGAATTAGTAGTAAATGGTAACTGATTCTAAGGGTTATGATGTTTGGGGGGCTCAGAGTGTAAGATCATTGTTACTTGCCTGAGTTCTGAACTGACTTAGAAATAAAACAAGAATAAGCAGATGAAGAAACAATATGTAATACATTTTTTAAATTAATTTTGTTATTCAGGTAAAATTCATATGCCATAAAGTTCTTCATTTTAGAGTATACAATTTAGTGATTTTAAAAAAATATCTTTTTTTGGTTGTTGATGGACCTTTATTTTATTTATATGTGGTGCTGAGAATTGAACCCAGGGCCTTACACATGCTAGTCAAGTGCTTTACCACTGAGCCACAACCTCAGCCCCAATTTAGTGGTTTTTATAATATTCACCAGATTTTGTGCAGCCATTATCACTATTAGACAGAATATTTTCATTTTCCCTGAAAGAACTTAGTAGCAGCCACTCTCCACCTGCCATCCCACTCCAAATCTCCTGGAAAGATCCAACCTACTTTCTATTTCTATGGATTTGTTTATTCTGGACATTTTGTGTAAATGGACTGATACAGTATGTGGCCTTTTGTGACTTTGTATCTGACTTTTTCATTTAGCAAAAGGCTTTTTTTAAAAAACTTTTTAAAAAAATTGTTCTTTAGGTATACATACAGTAGATTATATTTTGACATATTTATACATACTTGGAGTATAATTTATTCTAATTAGGATCCCATTTTTGCAGTTGTACATGATGTTGAGTTTAACTGGTCATGTATTCATATATGAACATAGGAAAGTTATGTCTTGATTCATTCTATTGTCTTTCCTATTCCCATCCCTCCCCCACCCCTTATTGTTTATTAGCATCTACCTATCAAGAGAGAATATTAGGCCCTTGGTTTTTTGGGTTGGCTTATTTTATTTTAGGTAATCTCCAGTTCCATTCATTTCCCAGCAAATGCCATAATTTCATCCTTCTTTAAAACCGAGTAATATTCCATTGTTTATATATACCCCATTTTCTTTATCCATTTGTCTGTTGAAGGGCACCTAGGTTGGTTCTATAGCTTAGCTTTTGTTGCTTGAGCTGTTCTACACATTGATGTGGCTGCATCACTGTATTATGCTGATTTGAAGTCCTTTGGGTATATGCCAAGGAGTAGGAGAACTCAGTCAAATGGTGGATTCATTCCAAGTTTTCTGAGGAATCTCCATTTACAGTCCCACCAGCAAAGTATGAGTGAATCATTGATCCCAGGAGTGCTTAAACACTGAACTACATTTCCAGCTCTTTTTAAATTTTTTTAAATTTTGAGATAGTGTCTTGCTCAGTTGTTTAGGACCTCACTAAGTTGCTGAGGCTGTCTTTGAGTTTGTGATTCCTCCTCCTCAGCCACCAAGTCACTGAGAAACTATATGCACCATCACACCTGGCCTCTTTTTGTTTTGATAAAACTGATATTATAGAATGTAACTTAGATTTGATAGCCAAATGAATTGGCTAACTCCATAGCCTCTTATACTCACCTGCTCATGGGATAGCCTACCTTAGAGGATGTTTTGTGTCAGCAGAGCAGATATATTAAAATCACAGCCTTATAGAATCCTGAATGGAGAGAGAAAAGAAAGACTTAACTCCTGGGTGTAGTCTGCCCACCTACCACGATACCTCTTTGGAGAAGAGTAGGCTAAGAGGCCAGGAGTGTTTAGAGAAGTTTGTTCTATAGAAACCAAAAGTTGAAAATGGGTGTTCTGCTCTAATAAAGGGGAAAAAAAAGTTAAGCAAAAAACCTGAAAGAAAAAAAAGAAAAAGAAACCTGAAAKCCATTTTTAGATGAAAAGGTTGTCCTGTTTTGTCAGGATAGGAAGTATATCAAGGAAAATGATGAGCTTCATTTTAGAAATGGTAAATTTGGTATTTTCAAGAGAGAACATTTATGTTTGGAGATCAGGAGATTTCTCCCTGAGATAAAAATATGAGATTAATTTGCATATAGGCAATTAAAATACAGGACTAGGTAATTCACCTATAAAGTAAAACAGTAGAGAAAGGTGTCCAGTAATTTCTATATCCGAAATCTTTGTGGTTTTGAGTATACTAACTTATGTTTCTTTGTATCTTGCTATCAGTGACTCATTTCTGATTTTTGTGAGTTTTGATTGTGAGTTCATTTACTCATATTCATTTATTTTGGAATTCTACTTGTGGGACTTATTCTAGGCCTACAGCAAGAATGAGTTTCCCTAGAATCTGCATTTGCTTCTGTCAGGATCAGGTGGGGGATACTACTATCCTACAGCTGCCCTAAACAAAATTCTAGGTATGAAGCTTTTAAAACTAAAAATCTAGGAGAGGTTTAACATGTGGTTGTTAACTATCAGGGAGACACCACTGCATTGCTGTAATAACATCATCATCTTGCCAACACTTAGTGCCAAGGGTACAAAAGCAACATTCCTTAAAGTTCTCTTTGGTAAGACTTGCACCCCAAGAGGTCTTAAAATTGCAAGTTGGAATTTGCAGGATATGCCAAAAATGCCCTAAAGGTGAAAGAAAATTGCTTTTTTTTTTTTTTTTTGTCTTTTCTGCATGCCTTCCTAGTTTCCCTCTTTCTTTTAATTTTTGGCTTCAGCTCATACCTTATTCTTTGTCAGGCTTTAGATTCCTTTTTAAAGGTTTAAAAATACGTTACCCAGCTATTTGGTTATTTTCAGACCAATCCATCCATCTTGTCATTATAGCAGAAATAGAATTGTCTGTCATCTGTTTCTCTTAAGTGTATACAGGGACAATTAGTTGCTGCGAATCATTCAGTCTCTGAATCAAAGGTTATAAATTTAGAACAAAATCCAGTGTTTTATTTGACAGGTTAGTATGTAGACAACAAAATTTAAGATATTTCAAATAATATTTCGAATTTCTTCTTTTGAAAAATTGGAAGTTCTTAAAATACTGGGTCTAAAATATTCTTGCCTAGCAACATTTGCCTAGATAGAACTGGGAGTAGCAGCTGATCCCTTCCTATTAAACATGCTCTTTTTAGTTGCTCACAGTCTTTATCTCTTGTCTAGTATATGTGTATGTATACAGTTAAACCAATTCCAACAAACCCACATGATAAATAAAGATGTGTAGGTGGTATTATCTCCAAGTTTCAGCTGAAAGAACTGGAGTTCAGAGAGGTTGTATAAATTCTTCAAGGTCTCAATAGGACACAGAATTTGAACCTAGAACTTATTTTAAAGCTTCTTCTGTTCTAGTGCTAATTTAACTTTTTTTTTTTAAGCAATGGAACTGTTACTTCAGATGAAGTCTTAGTGCAGTTCAGTATATATAAAACCAATAACGGTAGCACTGCTTTTATTGAGGAGTAGTTGTGTATATTGTGGGGAGATCATTTAATGTGGTATAGTAGAGACTTGCATGCTCAACTGTATAATAGCTTTTAGGTATCCCTCTGGAATGCTTAGGATTCTCCTAAACAGTTTGGATACACTCTCTCTATTCTATAAATATAATTATTTGTTAAATTTTATGAGCAGACTTCTGCATGTCACAGTTTGGTGTGTGTGTACGTGTACCAGGGATTGAATTCAGGGGCACTCAACCACTGAGTCACATCCCCAGCTCTGTTTTGTATTTTATTTAAAGACAAAGTCTCACTGAGCTGTTTAGCCGTTGCTGAGGCTGGCTTAGAACTTGCAATCCTCCTCTCATAGCCTCCTGAGCTGCTGGGATTACAGGTGTGTGCCACCGTGCCCAGCCATGTCATACAGTTTTAATGTGTTTATTTCTGTCATATTTCCGGTATGTGTGTCTTCCTCAGTGTAATCCTTTTTATCAATCTGTAGTATTTTTTGTTCATGTGATTTTTGTGTTCTGATAATGGTGATTCTTTTAGTCTTCTGTTTCTTTTTTCAGATGTTTTAATTAGAATTGTAGTGTAATTTATAGTTCTAACATGCTTAGGAACATATAATAATTAACTCTTATTTATTTTTTAGATTCTCTTTGTGGCCAGATGGGTTTGTATGGACAGGCTTGTCCATCTGTAACTTCATTAAGGTGAGTGCTCTTTTTCTTTTTTTTTCGGTGGGTGGATACCAGGGATTGAATTCAGGGGTACTCGACCACTAAGCCATATCTCCAGCCCTATTTTGTATTTTATTTAGAGACAGGGTCTCACTGAGTTGCTTAGGGCTTTGCTTTCCCTGAGGCTGGCTTGGAACTTGCAATCTTTCTGCCTTAGCCTTCGGAGCAGTTAGGGTCCAGGCATAAACCACTGTTCCTGTCAAGTGCTCTTTTTCTTTGTTGAGATATTCAATACTTGAAAAAAATTTTGCCGGTCAAGGCATATTACAATGAATTTAAAGGTATGTCTCAGAATAAAATATTACTGTTTTGTCAATTAGTACAATTTGACTGAGTATAGAGATATTTTTGCTTTCAGAGATTTTTTTGGTAGTGAGATTTGGATCTGCTTTTAATATCTATTTAGTGAACTAAGTAAATTTAGTGTATAATCTTATACATGAAATGATGTATTTTGTACTTTTTAGTTGTTTCTTTTCTTTTAAAAACTACCCTTTCTCCCTGTTTAAATTAGCAGATAGTAAATTTTGGACTAACTTCTTTACAGATTAAATATTACTGAGGATACTAGTTTTAACTTGTTTTTGAGGAATGGTGTAAGTATCTGAATTGCCATCATTTACAATAGTAAAGTGTAAAAATGCAAGAATTTTTAAGTTGTTGCTCAGTAGTTTTTGGAATTAGCAAGTCGTTCTATAAATTAAAGCTTATGTGAAATTCATGGATAAAGCAGGTACATATGGGACTTTTTTGTTTGTATAGACATCCATGGTCTACTCTCATAGTAGCCTCTGAAAACTGAGACACTTACAAAAATAACCTTAACCTAATCTGTTCATTGAAATCATCTTACAGATTAGAATGTAAAGTGTTGATGACAGCATGTACTAGTTACATGTGATATTGCCAAAGTTAGCTGTATCATTTATTCATTTAGCATATTGAGCACCTAATATCTAATCAGCCACTATCCTAATATAATAGGTAAAAATCATATATTCATGGAATATGCATTCTGGTAAGGGGATAATTAATAAAATAAGTAGAAGAATCTGTTAGATAGTAAAATCGATAAGGGCTAAGAAGATAATTGAAATGGAGAACAGGAATAAGATATAGAGTATATGTTATTTAAACAGGTTAGCCAGAGACTGCTTCATTGAAAGGTGACATTTGAATGAAGAGCTGAGTGATGGAATGAACCGTATACTGGGTATGTGGATGATGAACATTCTGGGCAGAGAAATTCCAGGAAATGCCAAGGCAGAAGTCTGCTCTGTGTATTTAAGGAACATTGAAGAGGCCAGTGTGGTTGGAACAGCCTAAGTGATAAAGAGAGTTGGAATTGTCCTATTATGGAGGGCAGGAGGAAAGAGAAGGGATATAAAGTTGCTAGAAACATGAATGTGAAGTCAAGGAATCCTTAGATTTGAAAGAGATTCTGGTTTTCTAGACTACCACAAACGAAAATGAACAGTGAAATTGCCCTTTAATTTTTGGGTACTTGAATTTTTAGCAGGTAAAGACTGTTATTCTTTTCCTCAGAAGGTAAACGTTATGCCATTATGGCATTTCTTTCCATGAGAATGCATTTTTTAATCTTGTAATAGTGATTCTTTTTCTACTTAACTTATGCCTGCCACCTATATAGCTCTGAAAAAAATTAAAAAATAATTTCATTAGTTTCTAAAGCTGTTCTAGAATTAATTTGACTTAATGTTGATTTCTCCTTAGTATGATGAGAGGAGTCATTTTTGAATATTTAAAACTTTGGATAAATTTACATCAGGATATTTTGTAGACTTTAATCTTCCACTAACTAGATTTCCTTAAAGATATTTTTGTAGTGAAATATGCTGAAACAATACTATATTAAGGCCAGTGACTGAAAATTTAAATCCTTTAATTTGAATATTTAATTTAGGTTAAGCTGATATAGGCATTGGTTTAGGAATAATATATGTCCTGATTTTTTGCTTGATAAAATTGTAGAACTGGAAAGTATGATAAAAGAGAAGAGATACTATAAGTTATTTATGATTTATTCTTTGTGCTATAATTCCTGTGCACCATATTGTAGATTCAGAATTATTAAACCAAGACGCCTAATACCATCTGAGTCACAGTATTTTGTATCTTTATGTATGTCTTTCATTTCTGTAATATTCTATATGGCTCATTTCTGAAGCAAAGAATTCCATTCTTAGATGTATATATTTAGAAGACTATTATCATTTGCATTTCTAAGCGGAAGCCAGTATTGATTTGAGATAAGAGGAAAAAAAGACTGATTTTTTTGGGGGGGAGGCAGCGGAAGAGGATAAAACAGGATAACTTAAAACCACAATAAATGCTGATCTACTTTTTCCACAGTTACCAGAAATGCTTCCCCTCTATCAGCTACATTACCCAAATAAGAAGAGAACCAGAACTCTTAAAGTAACTTAGACCCACTGAAAAATACTGCTTATTTGCCTTACCTCTCTTGTATATACTACTGTGTATATGATTATGCATACTACGTGTTTATTTATGAAGTAGCTAGCCTCAAGACCGGGAGCACATGAGTTGGTGGGGAAGAAATGGATATATTGGCTGGACATGAGAACATGGGTAGGCATGTACAGGTTTATAAGCACAGGTATGAGTGGGAGTGCACAGTGTATATGTAAGTGAAGGTAAGGAGTGGGATGAAAATAGTGAAGTATTTTTTAAAAATTTGGGGTTAGGATAGTTAGTAAATAGATTAAAACTCTCCCTTGGGGCTGGGGATATGGCTTAAGTGGTAGTGCGCTCTCCTGGCATGCGCGGGGTGCTGGGTTCGATCCTCACCACCACATAAAAATAAAAGATGTTGTGTCCACTGAAAACTAAAAAATAAATATTAAAAAATTCTCTCTCTCTCTCTCTCTCTCTCAAAAAAAAAAAAACCTCTGTCCTCTTAAATATTTAGGGTAAACAAATATTGTCTTTTATAGATTATATTGGATCTTTATTTTATCTGAATGTGTTGACTATTTTGAAAATGATTTTATGATTAAAAAGTAATACTCTAGGGCTGGGGCTGTAGCTCAGTGGTAGAGTTCTTGCCTCATACATGTAAAGCACTGAGTTCAATCCTCAGCACCACATAAAAATAAATATATAAAAAGATATGGTGTCCATTTACAACTAAAAAAATGTAACACTTTAGTGTAGAAAATTTGGAAAGAAAGCCTTTTAAAATATCTTCATATCATATAATTGTATACCATATCAGATTATATGTAAATTTGTTTAAGATTATTTATAGAAAATTTGTAGCAATAGCTAGATATACTCTTTAATTTTAATCAGACTGCTCTTATCAACACTTTGTTCTTCTTTACTTGCTGATATAGGTAAAAATACATTATAATTAAAGTTGCAGTAACAATATCATATTCTGTATACGTAATGAGTCAGTCAGGGCTCTTTTGGGAGGTAGAAATCATCCACTTATTTGAACAGGGATTCTTTAATAGAATTCTTAACTAGATATAAAGTTGTTAACTAGGTAATAAAATAAAATAGAATTAGGTAATAGAATAAAATAAAACTTTTAGGTATCAAGAAGATAGACACAGGGTTGGAGTTGTGGCTCAGTGGTGGAGCACTCGCCTAGCACATGCGAGGCCCTGGGTTCGATCCTCAGCACCACATAAAAACAAATAAAGATATTGTGTCCAACTACAACTAAAAAATAAATATTAAAAAAAAGAAGATAGACACAATATTCTGGGTACATTGGTGTCCACCTATAATTCCAGCTACTGGGAAGGCTGATGCAGGAAGATCGCAGATTTCAAAGCTAAGCCTCAACAACTTAGTGATATTCAAAGCTAGCGTCAACAACTTAGTGATATGAAGAAAAAATAAAAAGGGCTGGGATGTAGCTCAGTAGTAGAGTGCCCCTCTGTTCAGTCCTTGGTTCCCAGGTAGGAGCAGGGTGACAGGTGACACACAGTGCGCCAACTACTACTCATAGAACTCAGGGAGTTCTAAGGCTGGGGATGGGGGACTTAGAAATAAAGTCCCTGTTGAACTGAGACTTAGACCTGTAAGAAAGAATAAGCTGTTGCATAGCTAGAGTTGGTGTTTGATCTTGGAAGAGGGGACCTATGAGTTTGAGACCTAGGCCTCTGAGAAGGGGATGCTGGCTAGTGTTGGTGTTTCTGCATGTATTGGAAACACTGCAAGCTAGATTTATCTGCTGCTATGAGAAAGACTGCTGCTTCAGGGATGAAGAAGGCTTTGCTAGGGAATTGCTCTTATGATTCTCATAGAATAGGCAGGAAGGTACAAGTCTCTTCCTCTTCTTCTAGGCTTGAATCTGTTTTCAGTGCCTCTTCTTGGTAGAGCTTTGTAGGAAGCCATTTAGCAAAGCTTAAGTGTCTTGCAGAGAATCCCAGCTCTAGCATCACAAAGCAGAATGAGGTAAGGGGTGTTTCAGTTTGGAGCTGAGGTGTAGTAGCTTTATAACGGTCAATACTTGTTCTAGCAGACTGCTGAGAATGATAATATAAAAAAGATGTTTTCTGTTTTACAGCCAGTGTTTATGTGACTTTTGGTAGAAATTACCTTCATGTTCTTGAAAAGCACCAAGTTTTCTTGTGTGAAGTTATATTAAAAATTTTTGTAAGAATCAAAAGATAAGTATTCCTTGCAGTCTGAGTCTATTGTGTTTATATCTTGAGTTTGGATGGTGAGAGTTTGTATAATGAAGGATACCAGGTTGTTCATATCTGTTCATTTCTGGAGTCTTGGATAGTAAGGGTAAGGGTTCAAGTAGTGATGGGATCAGTTTCTGTCAAACAGTAGAAACTTAAAAATTTAGCACTTTCTTTTTGGATAAGATAGATTGGAATCCTGACATGTGCCTGCTTTTTTATTTCCAAGTACAGACTCAATAAGAGTAAATACTGTGCTTGAGCATTTGCTTTATCTTCTGTGGA